AGAGAGAGGAGAGGAGAGGAGAGGAGAGGAGAGGAGAGGAATGGTCTTCAAAAATCACCTCAGACATACACCGAGGCCATATGCTTAACTAAGCACTTCTCATCCCAAAATAGCAATGTAAGATGCTGTGCCCATTTTATGGAGCAGAAAGTTGTCCCACAAGTACAGAAGCAGATTTGACATGCTGAGTTTGGTCTGCAGCCTGGTGACTTTTCCTCTGGAACTTTTCCTCCCATAACATTCACTTTATATTAGACTTTTTTCTGGGTTGATTTTCCTTTGCTTCATGAAATAACAGTTGGAGGAAAGCAGTTTCTAAATCTGGTTGGTTTTTTTTTGTTTTTTTTTTAAGGACAGACTGAAACTCTGCCTTGAACTTCAGAACTGCTGAAGTCCATTACAGATTTAAAGATCTAGGGCTGAAGGCTCAGGACCCATTCTGAACCCTGAGCACTCTTTAACAGGCAGTCCAGGGCAATGCCGCTCCCACCGCTGGTGCCTTACCTGGTCTTGTAAGGACAAGGTGGAGAAGGCTGGAACACTCTTGGCCCACTTGATGCTCATGAACAGGAGTCTGGCTGCTGACTCACAGACGGATTCGGTGGCCACTTCGTAGAGATACATAGGGGTACCATTGACTTCATGTGGGTACTAATGTCAAAAAGAAAATAAAGCAATGTCATACATTGTCACCAGGGCAGCCTGGTCTTCCTCTCCCCTACAGCTGCCATTCAGTGCGTCATGCTCACACTAAATACAGAGCGTGCACTCTCTTATTCTGCAAGCAGAGGGCATTGCTTTCAGCAGGCCCACTCCAAACCGCTCTCTGCTGCTCATCCATGTGGATAAACTGTACCACAGAAACAGTTCTCTGGAGGAGGTTGAAGGGAGAATGAAATTATTACATCAGGGGAAAAAAATTACCAAACTGCCGTGTCATCCTTTATCCCGTTACACAATAGCACACCTCTGGTAGCAGAGTTAAAAAGAATACAAATTTGATGAAGAATTTGCGGTGTGTAACCTGTGCTTCAGAAGCTGATTTAGCGCTCCAGCCTTGCTCAGCAATGCAGTAAGTACTCATTTAGTCTTAACCTTCATCTGGTTCCCCGACTGCAACAGGCTGTAAGCAGATGCATAGAGCTAAGTGTAATTACCTAAAGAGTGTGTAGTGTTGGAATGGAGTTACATTTTCGAGCATGTGCTATGTTTTCTTGCTAAATAATTTCTGATTCAGTATTTTCCAAAATTATAGTATAAAACTGTATGTTGTGATCATGTTCATCATGGATTCTGCTAAGATACAAACTCTGGAAATGGAGAACTATTTAAGTTGTCTCTTCTTTGAGTTTCTAGCTGCTGTGAATATGCAAAATGCCATTGCAAATGGCTTAATGAAAAACATCACCTAATGGTTAATTCCTGTGCAGCTGAGGCCACAGCAGTGCTTCCACTGAGCTACTTAGGAAATGTCACAGCCAAGAAGCACAGAGCCAGCTTAGAAATGTTTGTGTCTGTGTGGACAAGCTGCAGGCATCAGTCAGTACAGGTAGTGCTTTCTGAACTACACCACTATGGGGATGGGCATTTTGCTGAAGAAAACTCAGTAATTGCAGCTCATCCTCATAAAAGAAGGTTTAAAATCGATTTGCGGATGGGCTCCAGGCAGGAGGAGCACTTCGGCAACCATGAGGGTGTGAGGATGTATGACAGACAGAGTTTGTGCGGAGCATATTATCAGTCAATCCTTCTGCATACCCCTTCTGCAGAGAACCTTTTACCCCTTGCACTTTGTATCTTCAGAGATTTTTAGGGACATAACAAGAGAGTTCCCGCCACAACTCACAAGGCCTCAAGCCTTTCTCTTTGCCATGTCTACCCTGGACGGAAGAAGGAGGAGCTGGCAGGTTGCAGGCACCCCAGCAGTGGGGTCTGCGAGCCCACCGGGGGGCCTGGGGCAGTGGCTGACCTTTGGGGTGGGCTGCGCCAGGCCCACCAGAGCCTGCCTCTCAGGGGTGCCGGCGACGGCAGCCAGCTCCAGGCCGTGGGGCTCCAGCTGGGAAACGGCGGGGAAGAAGGCAGGTGCTGGCAGGGCGGCAGCAGGGAAGTGCGGGGCGCCGCCGCTTTCCTCCTTGTGCCCACGGAAGTAGAGGGCCACCTGCTTCCGTATCGTCGACGTCCGGGGGCCTCGCTCATGCTGCACTGCTGCAGGACACCAAGCAGAGGAGAGGGTGTCACCACGCGGTCCAGCACTGGGTACCCCATGTTGCTTGGCTGGGCTTCCCTCCCTCCCTGCAATTTTTTGTGGCCGACCCCATGCCCCGTGCCCAAGGGGTGTATAGCGAGAAATGGGTGAGGTTGCCATGGGACGGGGGGTCATGAGGGACCCAGGAGGGGAGACCTCACCGCCCCCAGCCCCGGGAGAAGGGGAGCAGGTACCGTCTTTGTTCATGTTGACCTCCAAGCACTTCTTCAGCCGGCAGGCCCGGCACTGGTTCCTGTGCGTCTTGTCCACCGGGCAGCCTCCCTGCAACACAGCCAGC